ATACCATCTTCTCTTTAGCATTTTCCTATTGCGTTTTTATGTATATATATATATATATATATATATATATATATATATAATATTGTATTATATATATATATATATATATATATATCGGGCATCAAGTAATCAAGCCTTCTGCTCAGTTTTGATCACTTTTTTTTAAAATCATTTCATCCCAAGGAAGGCGGGAAAGCCACTAATATGTAGGGATTTACAGTGAGTGAAAGTGAGAGAAACGAGGGAGGATTGAAGAAAGGACAAAAGATGAACAGGATTCAAGAAGATAAAAGATAGCGAATGATAATAAAAAGATTGATAAAAAAGCAAAAAAAAAAAAAAAAAGGCAAAAAAAAAGAACAAAAAAAAAAATAATAAAAGAGCCACCCTCCCAAATAAAATAAGAATAAAAGAGCAATAAAAATAAAAGCAAAAACTACTCGATTTCATTGAATGAAAGGCGCAGTGTTAGATTGTCAACTTGATCTCATCATTTTACTGTTGAAATTGCTAGATAGAACCCTAAGTTCTATTGTAATCTTCTCTTACACCTCACGTTTATGGAAGTCTCTTCCCGCTTTTTCCCTTCAAACTAAAATCTACAAGAAATTTAAATGCAACATCAATCGTCATCTGTTCCCTTAAATGCTATTCATTTTCTTTTCAGTTACGTTTTCTAATGTTCCTTCATATATTTTAATTTTCAGTAATTCCTTGTGTCTTAGGGGCTTTATCGCCTTGCTTGTGGCAAAAAAATGGCAAAAAATCATCACTGCTGAAATGGAATGCGTCGAATATTCCCTTGCATCCTAAAGGTCATCGGATACGGTATAGCGCAATGTGGATTCGTGGGGTCGATGAATGAAACTTTTCACTAAAGTTCTGAAGAAATCTTCATATATCGGAGCCGGCAGAGAGTTAAAAGTATTTAAATTCGAAGCCTCAATAATAAACGAATTTCTCAATTGTAACAGTTATCCATTTTTGCAGGATTAATTTGCTGCGTTGAGGGAAATATGTTTTCGACTTAGAGAAGTTTATAATCGACTCACGTCGCTTCTGTTCAAGAAGCCTAAAAAGAATTAAAAAAATATTTACAACCCGTCGCAAGAGAAGAAGAATGATAGCCATAAAGAACTGATGGCATCGGAGGTCAACGAATTATTTGTGTAGACATGATCATAATCTTGGCAATCGGCCAAAGCCATTCATTTAAAAATTTATTATTCGTGCGAAATACACATAATCTAAGTGATGTTCCCGAACAAGAACCAAAAGTTCAGTCTTCTTTTCGTAATGTCAAAAGAAAATTATGTTTATTTAAAGCGCGTTATACGGTCTACTTTGGGATTTAAAGACAATATAAGAAGAATGAGTAGAAGAAATAGAGAAATCCCTCGATTAATGCGTTTTCGTTTACCGCGCTAATTTTTTATATACCAAAATTCGACTGGTGCGGTGAAACGGTCTTCAGTTTAACCAGAGGAATTGAAAGCAGATTTTTATATTTTTTACTTACCGATTAATTAGTAATTTTCTAAAATTTAAGAATGGAAAATACGTAACTATTTTGTTTGTCAAGTATTATCTAAGTAAAAAAAAAAAAAAGAAAGTTACATACAGAAATTTTACAATATAAGCCGATAAGAAAAATACATATTTGGATATTTGTCTATATCAAATTTTTTTTTAATATTTTGATTTTTTCCGGGTTTATTTTGAAGGTTTTAAAATTAAAAGGAAATTCGATTTTTTTTTAAGTAAATAAAAAAAAAAAAATTTAATTAGATACATTTCTTAAAAATATCGAAATATGAAAGATATCTGCATTTACTATGGAAAAATTATAAATAAAACTTTCAGGCTAAAATACTAATGATGATATATTTGAAAAATTTGAAGGGATAATTTCTCATTACCGCCATTTATATTAAGCACAGAAGTTTTTCATATAACATCAGATTAATAAACATTAATTCATAGCATTTTTTATTGTATCTTCCTATATGTACCTATATTTTAATTAAAAAGTACACAAATTAGAAATGAATTGTGGATGAGACTAAAATTTGAGGTACATATTACATTGTTTCCTATAAGTTATTACATATTCGATTAATGCGTTTTCGATTAGTGCGCATCTTTTAATGTACACAGTAAAACACACCAATCGAGAGATTCCTGTGTTTTTAAAAAAGTCCAACTTGGCTACACCCTTCAAATACTTCGCTATGATTTCAACTTTATAATTGTGAGCATAAAAATATTTTACTGCCAACTCAACGATAGGTGGCAGACTAATATTTCAAAGTTTACACAGCATCAATCTTAAGTAATTTCATATATGAGATTCTATTATTGATTATCACTTTCAATAAACCTTTTTTGGACTGACCAGAATTTCTGGCACGTGATTCCGGGTTCAATGAAACATTATTGAAAAATTGCCTGTTATAGAATTTCATGTCGACCAAGATTCCCAGCCCAGTTCTGTGTGCTGTCAATTACTAGTGCCTAAGTCAAGCTCGAAGAATGTTGGTGAAGGTCATCACGACTATCGATTTAGAAATTAAAAAAAATATATATATGTTGATGAAAAACTGTTTATAGATTGAAGAGAACCTAAAAATGACTTAAAAGATTTATAAACTTTACTTAATAGTAAAAAACAAAAAATGATAAAGCTTAAAACTTTATCGCCAACCTTTGGACATTTTGTAACCGATAAGGAAACGTGTTAGAGAATTTAAATTTGTTTTAAATTCCAGTAAGTTTTCTAATATAAAGAAAAGATATAAAATAAATGTAGGCTACCTTCTGTCTGCAAATTATTATGAGAATTTTCTAAAGAATAGATTTTTTAAAATTTATTAATCTTTAAACTATATTCTCGTCTACTAGCCTGGATATTCGATAATCTTTCTTAAAGCATTTCATCCCAAGCAAAGCGGGAGTGCCATTAGTACGCAGGGGGTTACAGAGAGAAAAGACCGAGTATAAGAGGATTGAGGAAAGGATAAAGAACGGGGATGAAAGCATCAGAAAATGACCACTGACATCGCATTTAAATTTTTGAATATTATATTTATCAGGGAAGCAAGTAAGAGGAAAGGAGTTCCACTGTCGGGAAGTGCAAAAGAAGAAGCTGTTAGAGTAGAAGTGGCGGTTGCATTTACCTGTTTCATCAGTAAAAGCGTGGGACCTAGATGTCAACCGAGTAGCACGCTTAAATTCATGTAGTCGGGGTATCAGGGAAAATAGGTCGTTAAAGCAGTTGCCATGAAAATATTTGTAGAAAAGGCAGAGCGAATCCACGTCACGTTTGTGAGAAAGTGACTGGAGTAGAGACGAAAGGAAAAAAATATGTCCTCTCCGTGAAAATTTTGAGGAATCTATGAGAAGGATTTCGCTTAAAGGCACCGTTTAGACTTTGCTTGATCGGCAAAGCTTCTTCTTGGCAGAGTCGGTTAAGTCACATCGGATCTAATTTTGAACACTTTTCTACTGCTCCACTTGAACTCTTCGACATTCTAAGAATTCTTTTTTTAACTTAAAAAAATTACATACACTGAATTTATTCTTGACTTGCATGTCTGTTTTGAACATTTTTCTTATCAGCCCTAAAATATTTTTTGCCTTGTAACACTTAACATCCGCCATTTTCTTTAGATAATTTGTGCAATGTTTTATAAATTTTAAGTCACTGAACCTATTTGTAAATAAACACTCTTTGCATTAGTTTTTTTTTTTTAAAATGCAACTATTTTCATACTCTGGAAATTCCAGTAAGTTTTATAATTTAGCTTTTCTGTTTCAATTTGTTTTAATTTAAATCCGCTTTATCAGTAAAAATAGTGACATTTTATATAGCACTCATTAATGTCCGTAAATATTTGAAGTTACAAACACATGAATTTCTACATTATCTTTCAATAAATAAAACGATCAACATATGAGAAAAATTTTTTTTCCGAAATTTGAATGTTTTTTCTTTTTTAAGTTTCAGTAAACGACTTAGATGAAAACAAAAAGTAGATAATATGAAAAATAAATCTTGGTCATTTGGCTGATATTTTCAAATTTAATAAAAAATTAAAAAAAAATGCTAAATTCAGTTTTCGTCGTTCTAGATGAATTTAATGCATCAGAATTATATGGAAACATTTATTTAAGAGAGATAAATTACAAACGTTTATAAAGTTTCTTAAAATTTAACAAGAACTTATTTCTTTAAAGATGTTCCAGATTGCGTCGATTTAAGTATAGCTGTGTTATCGGTTGAAATTGCGCTCGTCCTAGAGTGATCTACTTTAAGACGTGGGCCATCATGGCTTTCCACAACTTTCTGGTCCTTTTAGCTTTAATTTTGGTTGTATCTACGGCCGATTAGAGGGCAAAAATCTCAGCCTCATAAATAAAAGTCATATATATATATATATATATATATATATAAGAAATAAATTTAAAATTCAAAGAACCTTTATTTTTAAATTGAGAAGGAGGAGAAGGAGATAATAATAATAATAATAATATCCAAGATATAAACTTATATGTACAAGAAAGTTATTTCGCGAATAAAAACCTGTTGTCATGCCCTTAATTCGGCATACATATCCCCGTAGTTTGTTTAACGTTTAGGCGGAAACTTTAAAACAAACATCCTTTAAGGCTTTCTTCACATAGTCTTTTGGGATATTAGGACACCCAACTAAGGAATATATCGAATATGTAACATTAAAAACATTTTCAGAATTTGGATCGATTTTTTTATGAATTTCTTTTCTAAACAGAATGGACCCATATACTCTTGAATTACCCAATAGAAATCGATATTGTACATATAAGACGTTTGCTAAGGCACATTAATTTTTGTTAAACACCCAGACCTCTGGCTTGATCAAACAAATTATAATTTTTACTGAAGTCACACGCCATCGTGACAAAGAGTTTGGCCATACTGGCCTTGTCCAGACAGGAGATATAACCTAGACGTTTTACACGTACGTAAACGAGGCAAACAGAAACAAGCCAATGAAAGAAAGAAACAAGCCAATGAAAGAAAGAAACAAGCCAATGAAAGAAAGAAACAAGCCAATGAAAGAAAGAAACAAGCCAATGAAAGAAAGAAACAAGCCAATGAAAGAAAGAAACAAGCCAATGAAAGAAAGAAACAAGCCAATGAAAGAAAGAAACAAGCCAATGAAAGAAAGAAACAAGCCAATGAAAGAAAGAAAAAATGGTTACTTTCTGTTCTTAGCATCTTGTATGTATTGCTATCTCAATTCTAATACTGTTAAAGTGTTCCATCAAGATGATCCAAATTATTCTTATTTTTAAACAATATTTAGTAGCTCGCATAATGGTACTCGTGACAAACTGGAGTGAATTGTTTTTTTACGCATCGAATATTTAATGTCAGCCTCAACATTTAGTTCGACATTATAGATGCGTAAATCGAGTTCCTACTATTAGTTCCATGCTTACATTTTTATATACAAAGTGAAAAGGTAAAAAAAAAAAGCCGCCATTTTCATACGAGCAGAACAAATCAGAGACAAAAATGCGTTTTCGTGAAAAAAAAAAAAAAAAAAAAAAATTCAACATAACCAAACCACTTTTATTATCTAACTGCGCAAGCATTAAAATATATCTAAAATCTAGAATTGAGAATCAACGGCCAGGGCGGCGGGCTACCCCGCTTTCCCCTAATAGAATCAACGGCCAGGGTGGAGGACAGACACCACCTCACCTCGATAAGATCAACAGCCACTTTCCGTGAGCAATTCGAGCCTTCAAATTGGAGGACGTCGGCTGTTGTTCGACCTGAAGAGAAATGGACTCCGTCAGGACTTTCTTGTCCAAGAGACGCTACGCATGAATATCTACGGAGTATGTAGAGTTAGCTTGCTAGGCGCTCAGATTTTCTGAAAAAAAAAAAAAAAATTATTTATTCCCCCTCCCCGCAAAAAAAACTTCTACGTGCAGTGCTCCATGAGAACGCAGACGATCATGACTCTCCACAAGTTTTTCTTTTCACCATCCCTTCCAATTAAGTTACTCATTGTTTCCGTCTGTCCTTTTTGCTTTCATTTTGATTGTAAGTATAACTGCCACTTTTGTTTTCGCTTTCATTTAAACTTCTCATGTTCAATCCATGGTGATCTCAACATCTATTTGCAGTATTTTCTCTAACGAGATTTTCCTGTTTTTAATAATTTGCTTAGCGTTTGGAAGGCATATTTTACTATTCCAACTCGATTTCGAATTTCGGTGTCATACCTTTTCACCATCACATCTCCGAAATGAGCCTTTCATTAAATTTCTTCATGACTTTATGGATTCTACTTGAGAAATTTAAAGATATTTTAGTCGAGGTTTGATTTATTTGCGATCTTTTTAAGCCTTACGAACTATTTGTAGGTTAAAACCGAAACATTTGTACAAATTCTTTTTGTGAGTATACATTGTATGAACAATTATTTTTCCAGGTACAAATTCTATTTAACCTATAGGTGGGGGTAGAGAGAAGATGGATTTATATATTCATGCGCGTAAGTAAATGTTACGAACCAGACTTCTTCATTCAGAGTCACTATCCATTACGCCACACGCACATCCAGTTTTAGGCAAGAAAACTGGTTACCGAGTTTAGCGCCTGAAAACATTTTTCATGTACTAAATGCTGAAATAAACCTTTACATTTTCTACGCAAACCATATAGAAATGAGAAGGTAAGACCAAGAGATGAACCCATAGCTAGTCAGTCATTCTGTGTAAATATTGTCGTAAACAGATTTCCATAAACTTTTAGCCTGCGCTGTGCAAACGTTTAATGTTAGGAATTGGGAACAAAGCGTTTTTTTTTCTCTTACTTTTGGTTCTTTGAAAGATTTTCAGCATACAGCGAGGTTAAAAGGGTCTACATTTATATAAATGAAACGTAAGGATGTGGAATTTACGCAACTTGTTTGGACATGAAGTGACACAAAACTCCAGGTAGGTCTTGTGACCTGTAAGTCCAGAAGCAGCTGCATATCTCGAAGTCTTTTGTTATTATAAATAGCGCGAGATTGTATCCATCGCAGCACGTGGTATTCTCCAGCGGTCACTCATCTGGGTAGGATCGTCTTTGCTAAAGGAATTTAATTTAACTGCCCACAGAATATGAAAGAGTGAGAACAAGAGAGACAGAGATGAAAAACACGCAGACAAGAAAGAAACACACAGACAAGGACGAGAGAGAGAGAGAGAGAGAGACAAGGACGAGAGAGAGAGACAAGGACGAGAGAGAGAGAGAGAGACAAGGACGAGAGAGAGAGAGAGAGAGAGGACAAGGACGAGAGAGAGAGAGAGAGACAAGGACGAGAGAGAGAGAGAGAGAGACGAGAGAGAGAGAGAGAGAGGACGAGAGAGAGAGAGAGAGAGAGAAGGACGAGAGAGAGAGAGAGAGAGAGACAAGGACGAGAGAGAGAGAGAGAGACAAGGACGACGAGAGAGAGAGAGAGACAAGACGAGAGAGAGAGAGAGAGACACGACGGACGAGAGAGAGAGAGAGACAAGGACGGACGAGAGAGAGAGAGAGAGACAAGGACGGACGAGAGAGAGAGAGAGAGAGAGGACGGGACGAGAGAGAGAGAGAGAGACAAGGACGAGAGAGAGAGAGAGACAAGGAGAGAGAGAGAGACAAGGACGAGAGAGAGAGAGACAAGGACGAGAGAGAGAGAGAGACAAGGACGAGAGAGAGAGAGAGAGAGACAAGGACGAGAGAGAGAGAGAGAGACAAGGACGAGAGAGAGAGAGAGACAAGGACGAGAGAGAGAGAGAGAGAAGGACGAGAGAGAGAGAGAGAGAGACAAGGACGAGAGAGAGAGACAAGGACGAGAGAGAGAGACAAGGACGAGAGAGAGAGACAAGGACGAGAGAGAGAGACAAGGACGAGAGAGAGAGAGAGAGAGAGACAAGAGAGAGAGAGAGAGAGAGACAAGGACGAGAGAGAGAGACAAGGACGAGAGAGAGAGAGAGAAGGACGAGAGAGAGACAAGGACGAGAGAGAGAGAGAGAGACAAGGACGAGAGAGAGAGAGACAAGGACGAGAGAGAGAGACAAGAGAGAGAGAGGACGAGAGAGAGACAAGGACAGGACGAGAGAGACAAGGACGAGAGAGAGACAAGAGACAAGGACGAGAGAGAGACGAGAGAGAGACAAGGACGAGAGAGAGACGAGAGAGAGACAAGGACGAGAGAGACAAGGACGAGAGAGACAAGGACGAGAGAGACAAGGACGAGAGAGACAAGGACGAGAGAGACAAGGACGAGAGAGAGAGGGAGAGACAAGAAAGAGAGGGAGAGACAAGAAAGAGAGGGAGAGACAAGAAAGAGAGGGAGAGACAAGAAAGAGATAGTGAGTGAAAAAAGAGAAGCAATAATTTGAGATAATTCAGTTTGAGAAGTTTTTTTTTGTTCCTAAAATTCGAAAATATCTCGAAGAACTACGTTTTATTTTTAAAAGCCTATTCGCTTCTACGGTAAATTCTTACCGGGGTATGGCATCTTTTATGGCTGAATATGAAAGAAGTTGCATTTCATCAATTGTTACCTGTATTACTAGTAATTGTAGCTAATAGATTTCGTGGCTTGGGCAGAGTTGCAACTAAAAGCTTCTTCCAATCTTCGCTTGAAAGGTCGCAATTAGAGCGTGTTATTTTTCGCCACTGACAGCCATTTTGTATTCATTTGTAAACCGTCAGTTGAACGGAAATTTTTCAGGTGTATCGGAAATTGCGTGAACATAATTAGATGCGTTCGCTCTAGAACAGACTATTTAATTCGGAATTTAATTGAGGTTCCTTGAAAGTCCTATCGCACTGATCGACTATTATGTATAATATTTGGAATGGGGATGCAAATGAACGTCCTTCCCACAGCTTATTAAGAGACCAAGTCAGAAAAACGAAGGAAATGAATATTATGGATATATTTTCGATTTTATTGGATATGTAATAAAACCCACATTCATTGAAAACTTACAACAGCTAAAAAATGAATAGCATAAGGAAAAATAGAAGTGTTGGCTTTTTGTACTATATTAAACAAAAAGTTTAGGAAGGCAACCCCTCATCAATACTTACCAATTACAATGGAATTGAGAAGCCTATTTTTTAATACTTTTAACAGAAATATTTTATAAAATAATATAAGAGAGATTTACGTTTAGATGACCATCCAGAATATCGTAATACACACAAAAAACTAGCCTAAGAAAGAAAGAACAATTGTTTCTTTACGTCGATTGTATTAATAGCGATATCATCAACAATAAACATGCGTCATCAACCTTACTGAATCCATTCTTAAAGAATGGAATGCAAATTTATCTAAAACAAACCTTATGTACGTAGTTTGTGTAATGGATAGCGGCTCGGATTGAGAAATCCGAGAGCAGAGTTCGAATTCCAGTCAAATCCATTACGTGCTAATACTCTTGAGAAAGGTCTGAATCCTCTTCCCTCAGCTATGGGTAAATAGTAGGACAGACCGGCTTCTATAGCCTTGGATGGCAACAGGTCTACAGCAGAAAGAAATGGCAACCTACTGCGGAAAAAAAATCTGCCTCGTCAGTCATGTATCACGCATGGCACATAACTGACTGATGTGCGTAAAAACGTCCCCCAAATCTATGTGCGAAAAACTACCAAATGTAATATATGTTTACTAGACACACACAATGAATATACATTATCATTTGAATCTCACATAGACAAATTGGAATTAATATACACAAAGAATTATTTAAGGTTCTTCAGTTAAGCTTGGAATCCGCCGATTTATTGAAGCTTCGAAAGGACGTGCTGCCTCGGAATTCGGAACGTCACAAATTATACTAACGTTGTAGCAACAAGTCAAATACACGTGAAACATGACTGAACAATGATAATCAAACAATACCAAGAGTAAAAATACAATAATTTCGTTCTCCTTTTTTTCATATCTCTTTCTCTGATGAAGCTTTAATAAAATTGAAATATATTAGATTGATAAACGTTATCTATCTATTTAGCTATCTAGCCCAGTTAGTTCATATCTGTCTAACTATATTACTTTCTTTTTATTTACCAAACGCCCCACAAAGTAAAATGTGGCACAAGGCCAGTTTTTAGCGTGGGGCGTTTCGAGCCTGTAAGCTCGGGCAAAAATTGTACTGATGTTATAGCTACAAGTCGAATACACGTGACGCATGAAAAAAGTAAACTAACACAAAATT